GTTTTTTAGCCGTAAACTAGGTTTTTTGCTAGAAATCCATTGGAAAATTCCAAAATTACTGAAAACTTCAACCAAAATCTAGAAATTCCATAAAAATATCAAAAAAATCTCAAAAAAAGCTAACTCAATTCTTTAAAGCTCATGGAATCTTTTAAACACTTACTTAAACCAAAATAGATTCCACAATTCTCAAATTTCTTAAAAAATCTCTCAAGAACCTTATTGCTAGAAACCAAACACTATTCTCTAATTGTTTTTTGAAAAAAATTTTTCCTCTATCTTTTTGTATGTTGGAACGCAATTTATATAGAACTTTGGACAGTAATTTTAATGATTTTCCTTGAATGATTGAGATTGAATCTGTCAACAACAAATCCAATCATGCTCTTGATTCTTGCTTCTTATTTTGCTTTGATTTAGGTCAACAATTCATGTGATTTGGTTTCCAATTTTATTTAAGCTTGATTTTAAGGATTGAATCCCATGAACCATATAAAAAATTTTGATTTTATTTATTTATCTTTTTGTATTTATTTAGTTTTTATTAAAGTAATAGAATAAAATAAAAAAAAAAAAATGTTGGTAAAAGTATTGCGAGTCAACGCCTGAATACAAATAAATAAACCAATCAGACCGTTTGTTGGGCTCATAACACAAGCACAAGAAAATTATCTATTGGGCTTAAAGCCCAAATACCAATTGGATAAATTCATTCAAAATCTGAAAAATTCAATAAATATTTCAAAGGTTCAATAATCAACTCTAATCCGAACAAGTTAAACGTTTTGATTATTTGATTTAAAACTTTGGACGAAATGAGATATATATATATATAGATACAATTTTTGTGTTCCCATATATATATATACATATATTTATATAGCATTGTCCTACATCCGGAAGACTTATTTGACAAATATAGAAACCTAGAAAAATGAAACCAAGGAAAACGTCATTGCTAATGCTAGGCTTTCAAATTCATTAACTTAAATTCTATTGGCAACTGTGGCGTATAAAGTCCTTTAAAACAGCAAATTGCCGCAACAAATTAGAATAGGCATATAGCCCACCCTTTCCGGATTAATGTCTCTTCCTTACAAGTCAAAGCAACGTTATCCCACAATATAGAAAACAAAAGGGCAAGAAATTAAAGAATAGAAACCGATAAGAAATGCAAGGGTTTGTATCTATTGTTAATCAGTAATAAAGGGGGAAAAAGGGTATATTATTGTCACATAATATCTCCTCAAAGGTTGAGGTTTCAAATAACCAAATTTGGCAAGCTGGGGAAAGGGAGATGAATGATGAGTAATGCTCGGTATGTTAAAGCTAACAAATAATTAAGTTTGATTAAAGAAATTAAGCAAGAGGCAAGTTGGTTTCCTTTTTGACTTACAAAGAAAGAAAGAAAGAGAGAGGGAAGAAACAAGCAAACGATGTGACATTTGGCACATGAATTCTGTGGGCGGCGCCCGTGGCTGGGAACAATGAAATGAACCAGTATTCAGCTAAAGAGTTACACAGTTCCGTTTCTTGAATGGCATCATATGTTTTCGTCACACCTTTGGCATTTTGGCCAAACCAATATGTAATAAGAATCATTATGATTTTGATATTTATGATGATGCTTAGAGCGTAGGCCACACAACCCACAGGGCAATTTCTTCAACAGTTCGATTCTTTTAATGAAAGGTATTTTCCGTTCATTTCTCTCCTGTTTACCTGCTATTTCCTAAAAGACTAAGATTCCACCAATTAAACCTTTTTTTTTCTTACTTTAAAAAGTTTGTATTTCATTACTTTCTTTCACTGACATAAAAAATTTGTAAAGAGGATATAGATAATTTCGTTAAATAACTTTTTTTGCATAGTAAACCAGGATCTAAGAATAAAAAATGGGTAACAAGTGTTTATACTTTTGATGTAGTTGTCAAATACTTTTGATTAATATATTTTTTATAATATTGATTGATTATGACTTTTATTATCAAAAAAATAAAAAAAATCATGAAATCTAAAAGAAATTGAACGAATAGTAGGTGTTAAAAAAGAAAAAAAAAACATAATTTGAAATATTATATATATATATATATATATATATATAAAGATGGACATGCAATTGCAGCAAGCACTATAAAAATCTTCTTTCATTTTTTGTCATTATCTCATATAAAGTTATAATTTTAGGTGATGATTTAAAGGAGCGGTGAGATTGACTGGAGTTGTAGTTATGATTTTGAAAAAAAAAATATACGAAAAAATTTATATTGAATAATTTTTATTAAAATTAAAAATTAATTTTAATTAATAGTGTGATAAATTCAATAATACCATATTAAAAATGCAATGAAATCTAAATCTCCGCTTAAGAAATTGAGAAGCTGGTAATTTTTTGTTTGGACATGCAATTCTACCTTGAACGGCATTTTAATAATATTATGCTAAACTAAAGTTAACTTTTATTTAATACAGGATATATAGAGTAGAATGCACTAATTATTTAACTTATATTTTATCGTCTGTACTTTTCAAAATTGAAAATGCAATTTTTTAAAAATATTTTAATTAAAAAAGTCTACCATATTCACTTTTTTCAACCCTATGAACATCCACGTTTATAACCTGTGTATATTTTAGAGGACATGAGATCACAAATTTTGTCAATTTTTTATAACAATTATTGAAATGTATGAATTTGTAAAAATTTTAAAAATAATTATTTAAAATTAAATTATTATAAAGATCTCAAATAAAACTAAAATATTATACAAATGTCATAAATATTTAGTGCAATTTATTTCCGTATCTATTAACCTGACAAAAGTGGAAACCTTGACTGACACTAAAATCATATTAATAATTAATAATTCTGCATGCATAGTTTTTGGCCCATGGACGTGGGCTATTAATAAAAACCCAAGTTGAAAATATTGTATAATACTGATTTTATATCAATTAAATTGTTATATTTTTTGTCCAAAGATTTTTAAGTTACGGTCATAATAAAATGTTACATATATAATTAAATTATGATTATTAAATAATCAATTAATAAATTAAAATATAATTATATTATCAAATTTATACACAATAAAACTTAAATTAAAACTTCAACATTTTAGAATCTATTTCTTGTCACTAAGTCAAAGTCTATTGGTTTTTTTTTATCAAATTTCTTAAACTTTGATTTTTTTTTATTTTATATTTATTATTGATAAAAATATAAAAATAGATGTTAAAATTTTGAATGAAATAATTTTTAAATTTATTTTTATAAGATTTAATTGATTAAAATATTTAAAATAATAGCAATTTAAGTTAAAAAAAATAGAGAGAAAATTAATTATGGCAATTTAACCGGGACAAAGGAAGTATACATTTATTTGTATACTATTTATATAATTAACAAAAAAAGGTTTTGTACTTTTGTTTAAGTACTGAGTAGAAAAAAAAAATCAAATTAACGTGCAAAGTATAATATTTTAGTTTTGATTTCAAGTTAAAAAGAAGTACTACTTCTAAAAACAATTTCAACCCTGAGGGACGAGGAATGGCTAATGAGAGGACATTCATATCCCTTTTCTTTGGTCGGTTGGTTATAAGAAAAGACAAGAAAAAGAAAGAAAACACGCAGTGGCTTCCCCATGCAGTAGACAGGACCACATCTCAGCTTCAAAGGAGGATGATGACGAGATTTGCTAATCTGAGAAAAAAACAGAAGAAACAATGTTCCAATTTAGAAACACGGGCCAAGTTAGATGGCCCTAGGCTTTTTACCCTTGAGCCTGACAAGGTTGACCCAACATGTGTTTCAGACCTACAATCCCAAATATGAAATCAATGATTTGACAGTGCAGGGTTGGTTTTAGGGTTTACCTCGTTAGTATTAAGCTTCTTTTGGTTTGGATTTGTAGTTAACGTCAAGAAATTAGGAAAATACAATTCTTTGATTATAAATAAAAGATTGGCTGTAAGTGGGCTTTCAATTGAGCGTTATATTGTAATAATCTTAGATCTTTGATCGTTAGTTTTTTTTAATTGTGTTCATTCTCGAACCACATATATTATTGATATTTTCTTTTTTTTATTTTTAATTTTTTGGTTGTTTATTGCTTTTAATCAGTCTAATTTTTAAGTTGATTGTTTTGATTGATTCCGCTATAACTATAGTTTGGAGTCTAAATCACAGGAGATAACAATTACCTAGGACTTCGGAATTCGGCAATTAATCAACGTGCAACACACCTAAACAGTCAAAACCTTCTCTGGAATCATGACGTGGAATTTCAGAAGGGATAAAATAGCAGTCATAAAGTATGTAGATATTTATTTTCCAGCATTGGTTTCATTAGAATTGTAATCCAGCCAAGAATACCTTAATCTTATCTTATCTTATCAAACGTGAATTTAGGATTGAAACAAACATTAAAGTGCATTAGCTGTCATGCTTAAGAAAAAAAATACCATTAACTGCAATATCAAATTTCTAGGATAAGATTCGGCGAAGCCTTTCAATAGAGAAATCCAACTTTAGGGTATGGCCTAAATTTTGGCAGAGCAGGAAAGGCTCATTCCGCAAGGAGACCCATTCTTGGATTGAACGTTTCAAGGCCTGGTTCATTAAAGCACTACGAGTGATTTAATTCAAGGCCCATCAAGCGACAGTGATGATGGATTTAATTAGTTGAGTGGTCGATCTCATTTCACATGCCCAACAGTTACCTTGCATTAACAATATGTCTAATTATATAAAAAAATATATATCTAATTATTGCCAACTGAATTTTGAATCTTTTAGTATGAAATTGGTATTTGAAAGTTGTGGATTCAAAATAATTTATACGTGTGATTTTTTTTAGTTAAATAAAAATAAAAATAAAAGAGATTTAAAGGTAAATTAAGGATTAGAAAAAAACAATATACCCAATTATCATTATTATTTATATTAAAATCCAATTCAAGAACAACAACCAATCTTACATTTTTCATCCGATGACCAATTTTTCTTACATTGAAATTATGAACTAAAGAAACATAATTGCTTCTAATTAGTACTCCTTGATATGGACCCACGTCCCTCTGCTTGGAATAGCATCATGGACCAAAAATAACTGGTAATATCCAGGCGGCGCTAATGCCGCTGTTTCTGGGGCATAGCCTTCCACCAAATAGTTTCCGGAAGGAGTCTTCTTCACTCCGTCGTTGAATGCCAATACTAGCAACCTTTGGTTCATCGCAATTGAATGTGTAGTAAAAGATGGAGCCACCATTGTAACAAAAATATCTGCCTGATTAACATTCCCCTTCAATGTGAACTCCAGAGAAACTTTCTGCTTATAACCTAGCTTCAACCCTGGCTTTACCGCAATGATCGATGGCCGAGGCTTTGTTGGGCTCAAATATGGTGGATAAAATGCTTCAAGACTAAGTTCAGTTGGATAAAGTGCAGAGAAGTTGTAATTCATATTAGGATTGCTGCCACCGACTAAGACTCGACCATCTGATATTAAATGAGCAGTTGAATGATAAAGTCTAGGAATCATAGACGGGGTTAATACCTCAAATCTGGTAATTTTGTCACTGTTTGGAGTGTCTGGGTGGTACAACACTGGGTTCAGAACAGGGTCTCGTGCAACACCCCAACCAGCGGTGCCTTTGGCCGCACCATTTATGATAAGTACGTCTCCTGTTGGTAACATGATCATGTCGCCCATCACTCTGCTGATTGGCATTTCCTCCATTTCCCATTTTGGAGATGCCGCTGTAATTATCAAGCGGCCACAAGATTTTGAGGCTGGAACAAAGATTCCCACATTAGCCTTCTCATTTGAGTCTGGGGGTGTCCCACCGCAGATTAAGACCTCAGCATCTGGGGTGCTAGTGTTATTGTCGTTGTCGGTGCTAAAGAGTTTCAAAGGGAGAAGAACAGAGGAACCTGTGCTAGGATAATTGTGGGAAACGCTACCAGGCATTACAGGATAACTTCTAATCACCTTGTTGTTTACATAATCGAGTAGAATTCCTCGGTCATTGGCGAAAATAAACAGATTTCCGTCAGTTGAGAGATGTAGAAAAGGGTAGAGGTTGTTGGGGACCAGGGGTGAATATCTTGTTTCTTTTAGGAATGAAAGTTGGTATACCCTTTGATCAGAACTGGAGGCTTTAGGAATGAATTCATATGTGAACTGATATCTCCCACCGACAACAATGATCTTCCCATCTGGTAAAACTTGATTAGAAGCATACCATCTTGGTGAAAGAAGACCATTTTGATCCTCTTCCCAGTCGCAATCCATGCATGGCTTGAAGAATCGGACAACTTTTTCGCCAAGTCTATAACCTCCACTTTGCACTAAAGTACCATCCTGTGATAATGCGCCAGAAGAACACCATGTATCCGACAATATAGTGAGTGGCCTAACAACGCGCGTAGCTGGATTGAACTCTACAGAATGCGCATAACAATCAGATGATTGCAACTCTTTTATGCACTTTCCTTGCGGAAGAGTAATGTTGGAAGGACCGAAATCCGTTCTGTCAAAAATGACAATTCGCTCATTTGGTAACAATGCCATATGCATTGCCGAAACTCCAATGCTTCTCTTCAACAGTTTCCATTTTCCTTGGTAAGATTGGGCGCCTAGTGCCAGATTGAAGAGTGATGAACAACTTACCAAGAGTAGGAATACGAAGATTTTCGGCTTCATCGCTTTGCTCATTGCAAAATAATGCTATTCAAAAAGCATATATCTTGAGGAACCGACATGAATTGCTCGACTGTCTTGCATGTCATATGCACACAGAAAATGGAAGTTAATGACAGGAAGACGTTGTTTTGGTCATGTGGCATTTTCTTGCAGCTACTTTAGTCCGAATAGCAGATAATTGAACATTCAATCAAGCTTCTAATTGGTTATGTTGAGCCATTGGACCATGAAAAGACTACATAGCTGTAACTCAATGCGCATGGTCAGTTGGGATAACTGTAGAGTACTCGTGGTAATAAATGCATGACCAACCAAGGTTTGTTGGTTTGCAGAAGCATTTATGTCTCTATGCAAATGAGTAAATCCGCTTCGTATTTGTAATCTTTCGAGAGCCCGTAAATCTAAAATGTCTTTCTTGTAAAAAAAAAAAAAAGAAAAGAGTTAAAAAAAAAGGCACGTAGACAGTTTCAGCCCAACTGCCTTCTATGCTGGTAGGCATAGCATTAGTGCAGCATGGGATGATATATATTGACAAAATGACAAGAAAAGATGATGGGAGTATGCTAGGCCCAGGGTTAATAGCGGTGACGGGCGAGGATGATGAAGATAGTACGGTTTGGTGACGCATGAATATCCTAATTAAGCACCATTATCCGATGCCAAAATCACGATCAATTAGCCTAGATTACTAATGACATTGCTTCTAATCCCACAATTTAACTAAAAAGTTGAAAGTGAACAAGAATATGAATCCCCAATGTAGAATCAAATAGATTTTACCTGCTTCATTTATATTATTGCAGCCATGAGTAGTATATAAAACTGCTATGTCAACCATGCAAACATCAGCGCAAAGAGCACATTTACAATTTCCATTCTCTTTCTTTGGTAAATCCTTACCTTTGCATATCAGTGGGTGGATTGTAGTTGTTGAGGGTATTAAAGAATGGGTTTACATCATCAATATACGCTTCTTTTTCTTTTTGGAGTTAGGCAAACTCTTAAAGCAGCTTAAATTAATTAACAGCACCAACCGCCATCAATTTACAAGTAATTAACATTCCTGATTATTCCACCTTTGTTTAGATTAAAAGAAAAAAAAAGTAATTAATCGATGGACATTCACCCTGGGATTGTGGACCCTCACAATCGTAGAAGATTCAACTTTAACTGGAAAACGAGAATAAAAGAGATTTTGAACATGTTCATATGAATTGTCGGTTGAGAGAGGGGAAATTTGAGTGTATTTAATTTCTGTCAAATTTTACAATTAGTCCCTAGACTTCTTCTTTAAATTGGTGGATTTAATCTTCATTTAATTAAATCGAATCCTTCAATTTTTATAAATTTTAAAATATGATCCAATTTATTTAAGATATCGTGAATTTTTTTTTGTTAAATTTGCTGGTGTGATAATAAAATAAAATAAAATAAAAGATTTTCTGCCTTATGTTTGCTTCTATAATTAATTTGGTTAGTATCCATCTGTTAAAGTGTAATGCATACTGTGTTGGTTTTTACTTATGCTCAGGTTGATGCATTGGATTCTGCCAGAGTAGAGGTCATTTAGATTTGATAAAGTCAAGATTGTTAGAGATTTTTTAAGAGCACATCATGGTCCACTTAGGAGTGGATGATGGTCTATTTGTTGGAGGTAATGGTGGCAATGAATAATTGAAATTTCTCAACTGTTTTAGCTTATAAATTTTGCTCTGATCATGAATAAAGTAGTTGCATTTCTATTATCGCATTCTTCAGACTAAGACATTTTTTGTTTCATGCTATCAAAGCCTGATTTGTTGGCTATCTGAGAATTTATTTCTTGTCTATCAAGTGAAAAAACGTTTCACTTGTTGGACAAAAACAATATTTTTTAGGGTCTTAGCTGTGGAAATGATTGTCAGTGGATTTGGTTCTTCACAAAATGGAATGGAAAAACTTATAGGTGTAGACGCGGTCCGGATCCAAACAGATTGAACCCAAATTGATTGGGCCCAAATCAATTGGGGTTAAGCTTAATTATCCGTTTTATTTATTTATTTATTTTCATTGTTTTGGTTTTATCCTTTTGTATATATAATGTTATTTATTTATTTGTTATTAGTTTTTTTTATTGATTTATCTTTAGCTCTTTTATATATTATCAAATTAGGTCGTAATGATGAAAACTAAAAAAAAAGGCTAATTCTTAAAATTTTTAAAATAATAATAATGAAAGAAAGTTCTGCCAGGAAAAATAGGTGCTATTAGAATTAGAATATAATTTAATTTGTAAAGGATAAATTCTAGTCTTTTATGATAACACAAAAAATATTGTTGAAGATTGAATCATAGTTAATCAAAATCTCTTTTGAATGTCCTTTATAAATAAATTCCAATCGACACAGAAAAGAAACACAAGAGCATTAATAAAAGCAGAAAAATCAAGAGAGAAAGGTAAGAAGTTCCTGTTAGAATTTTTTTGGGAATTCAGAGTTGTTAGTTTGATTTAGGGTTAGTTAGTGTTTTGGAAGAGCTCAAAAGGTAGGAAGTTAATTATTTTTGATGAATTTTTTGGAATTTCTAGAATTTTATTTTTAAAATTTTTAGATTTTGATTGAATTTTTTGATGAAATTTATATTTTTAGATGATTTTTGGTAGTAATCCTATTTTTCGGTGAGAAATTTCAGAATTCGGTGATCAACCCAAATTTTGATAGAACTTTTAACGAGCAATCCCAAATTTTGACGTAAAAATCTAGAATTCGAGGTTAAAATTCATCTATTTTTTAGAGAGAGAACAGAGAATAGGAAAAATGAGAAAAAGGGGAAGAAGAAATTTGAGGGAAATAGGGTTTGAAAGGCTTTTATACATTTGGCAAATGACGTCATTTTTGTGCTTTTATTTTTTACAAGATCCACTTGTTCAGCTTGAAGTTGACCCGATCCATGTAGCAGAACCCGAAACGTGGGTCTAGTCTTCTAACCTAACCGTTTAAACCTCAAGCTAATTCCTTGGGCTAAGCTATGCCACGCCAACTTGTTTTGTCTTTGAAGCTACGCGATTCCAGTTTGCTAGCCGAGCCAACCTGTTTGGTACATGTATATATTTCCATTTTATTTATTTATTTATTTATATTTTACATGATAGAATTTTAGGAAAATTATTGGAAGGTTGTTCCAAATTATTAAAACATATAAGATAAGATTTTGAAGAATTAATACTAATTATTAAATGATGAATTTTTTATAAAATTTTTAGGTGAGAAATATTTTTTTTAAATTTAACCAAAATGGAGGAAAATTTAGATAAAATTTCAATAATGATAATTAATATTTATTTTTAATTTTAAAAAATTTAAAATATATATAGGCAAATTAAATAAATTAAGGGATTGAATTAACAATTACCCAAGGATAAAGTTTTTAGAAATTTCAAATGATAAATTTTTTAAGACATTTTTAGGTGAAGAATTTTTTTAAATTTTATCTAAACAGTGGAATAATTTAGATAAAATTTTAATAAAAGTAATTGTATTCTTTTCAAAATATTAAAAATAAAAATTAAAAATATACCAAACAATTTTTTGTTAAAATATTTGATAATTATCCAAGAATGAAATCTTAAGAAAAATCATAAATGATTGAATTTTCATAAGATTTCTAGGTGAAAACCTTTCTTTTTTTTTCTAAATTTGATCAAAATGGTAAAAGAATTTTAATGAGACTTTAAAAAATAATTGTCATATTATTTTCTTTCCAAAGATTAAGAAACTAACAAGAGTTTAGATTCTAAATTTAACCCAAATGGTGAAAAATTTAGAAATGAAAATTGTAGAAAATTTTTTTAAATTAACTCAAATGGTGAAAAATTTAGTAATAAACATTGTAAAGTAAAAAATAAATTTCGAAGTTGAAATTTTTAGTAATCACAAATAGATGATTATCTAAGACATTTTTAAGTGAGAAAATATTTCTAATTTTGGCCTAAATGGTGGAAGAATTATATATATTTTCAATAAAAAAATGTAACAAAAAAATAAATAATTAAGTTTTCCTGATGACAGAGCATTTTAAAAAAATGAGATTCTTGAATACTCTTGATGTGAAAAAATATTTTTAGGAATTCTGTCAAATTAATGGAGAATCTTAAAAGTTATTTCTAATATTAAATTTAAAACCATTAGAACTATCAACCTTGAGGATAATTTAAAATTAAATTATACCATCTTTTAGGATAGGCATTATATGGGTACTATAATCTTCCTTACTTGTAACTGAACTCTTAAACTTAACTCTATTCAAAAGGTTATAACTTATTCTTTGGGGACTCTTAGTCAAGCATAAGATCTCCTTACAAGGATAGATTCATTAAGTGACCAGTCACATTAGATAAAAAAGATTAGTAGGAACACCTTAAGTTGTTTCTAACTATAGGTCATAGATTTATATGTTATGATAATTTGACGACTCCATTAGGGATACATAAAGAGTCAAGCCATAATAATTTTAAATTTATCCTATTCTTTGATTTAATGGTCTTAAAATGTAATTATGCTATTTGTTTACTAACCTTTTTTTTTTTTTTGTCTTTTATTTGATATATGAGGGTTTGAAAAGTATATGTTTATTCATATATACTATAACATGCATTTGCATTACATGAGCTCTATACTTAGACTCTCAATTTTAGAAGAAAGTAAAGTACTAAGCTCTTGTGAAATGATAATTTCCTTAATGCTAACGAAATACTCCCACTCAAATTAAATCATTTTTGTTGGTAGCTCGTTATGGGTAAGGATTGAAATGTCTTATTAGTCTATGATGGACAATGATATAAGAAAGAATTTGAAAACTTTTAGTGGTTAAAATCACCTAGCCATGCATATAATCTACATTTAAAAGGCCAGCCTTAAAACAGAGCCATTCCTACTTGTTGATAGATGCAACTTGAAGTTAAGACACAAGAAGAAACAATTTGTAAGATATATTAATTATCTAACCATTTTTTTTCTTTTGACTTTTTGCATTTGCATAATTTCAATTGTTATATTTTGCATTATCACGTTGTCTATTTAACTTTATGCATTATTTTCATTGTCATGTTTAACTTGTGTATTTGCAACATTTTCATATATAGAACATTTGCCACATACCAATTATTGATAAACTAGATCTCATACCTACATCTATGAAAGGCCGCATACAATCAAAGTTTGCATCAATTCATTATGAATCTGCTTACTAGTTGAAAATCAAGTCACAGAAAAGTTAAAGAATAGCGGGTAATTACTTGCTTAAGGGTTTTATTTCATCATTGCCCAAGAGAGTTCATCTCGATCTCCAACAAAATTGCTTGGTTGACTTAAACAATGTTTAAGGATGTATGAGTAGGATAAAGCAAAAGGTATTTGAGAACAAATATGGAGACATAGCTTTACTGCTTCAAGTAGATGTGGACAATAATTCGATCAGAGCCATCATGCAGTTTTGGGATCATTATTATAGATGCTTCATTTTTCATGAAACAGATATGGTACCAATAATTGAAGAATACATGATTTTACTTCGCTTTGATTTGCCAAACCAAGATAAGATTTATTAGTCAAACAAAATGGGTTATCATAAGAAACTTGTGCAAATGCTTGGACTCAACTTGCCCTAAGTTGACTCATGTGCTAAAACAAAAGGCGAGAGTAAGGGTATTTTATAGGGTTTTCTGTGAGACTTCATTCAAGAACATTTGGATAATGATTAGGTAATAGTAACGATGGCCATAGCTCTAGATGGATTGGTGATCTTTTCAAAAGTCATTGGATATGTTGATATCACAGTTATAGATTTTGTTAATCAATTAAAATATAAAGTCAACACAACACCGACTATTTTGGTAGAAACTATTTGATCCTTGAATTATTATCATAAAAATGGTAAGGGTCGATTTAATGGGTGGTACAACTGCTTTACGTACGGATAAAGAGTCATATCGAATATGAAAAAAGCAAGTTACGCAAACCATACCTTTGTTCTAACATTCCAATTAAGGAGTTTTGTTGTAGCA